GCGGAGATGTGAAAGCATCTCAGGATTTCTTCCACATTCCACCGATACTCATCAGAAGTACTACCGCTGCAATTGCGGACTAGCTGCATAATTGAAGCGATCGTGTTGACCAATTATTATTTGCGGAATGTCTTCACCGAATGCAATCGTTGTTTTGAATGCGAAAACCATAAAAACCTACCTGAATCGCAGAGACCACACCTTTTCGGACAATCTTCTTCGAGAATGCTTTTCCAAACAGGATTTTCGCACATTTCATCTGTCACTGACGAGCATGGAATTCGTGGCTCTGAAGGGTCTCTGATTTCATAGAATATCAGGGCGGACAAAGGTGGGTCAGTAGCTGATAGACCACTTCGACTTACGCAGCTTATTTTGGCATGTGTAGGCGGGAGTCAAGCAGCAGTAGCCGCAGGTCTGAGGACAGTTCTGAATTGCAGCTTGAACCAATTGAGGATCCTGAAGGTAAGGAAATGTGATAGTACCTGTAGTAGCTGCTCACGCTATTCCCAACAAGGAAGGATCTACACGAGTGAACTATGCAACGAAAAAACATCAGGTAAATGGCATATCCTTTAAGGCCTTACATTCTTCCGGGACACAAAGAAGTCTTTATATGTATTATATCTCTCAAGGCCACTGAAGGCACGGGTCGGGATTAGGCGTGACTGAGTCTGCAACCACGGAGGTGATGCCGCGCCTTCAACCAGGGTCAACCGTCCGTTGGACAAAGTCCAACGAGGGGTGGGGGTCGTATTTGGGGTGGAAAAGGGGTCGTATTTCGCGAGGTAGCGTTAATGTTACAGTAAGGGAAGTGATGATGCAGTTGGTTGGCGCGCTAAAATTTTGCCGTTTCACGGTGTGTATATGCCCCCTTAGAAAATGTTGCAGTGGAAATATGGGTGAAATAGAGGGAAAGTGAGAGGATGTTTGCGGTTTCGTGGTAGGTATATACCCCGCTCGACGGCAATTTTGGAGGAAAAAGTGGGCGGAGTTTGGGCTGTGTCGACTGGTCTCAGAATCGAATACTATAGAATGAGCCCCATGATGGCGATGGCAGGCGAGGAAGGGTTGACCCTGAGGGGGGGGTCGTATCGAGGCCCTCTAGAAGGGGGAGGGGGTCGTAAAATTTTCGAAATCGGTCCAACGTGACGATTGACCCTGCGTTTTAACTGCGAAAACTGCGCGTCATACACCCACCCCCCCAGTCGTCCGGCTTAGAGCCGTGTTGGTGCAGGCCTGGCATGAAGAGTGAAATCAGCTGAGCAGGGTGTATTGATTGCCATGAGAAATTAAGTGGCACGTCCGGACGACTCGCCCGAACACGCCTTTCTCCCAAACCACCCTCCTTCGCTGTTTTGGCCCAATTTGAGGGCCTTGCTCTGGCCTTATCGACGGTTTGTTTCCGTTTCCTTCATCATGGCGTTATATTTGGCATGTTTTCTTCAATATTCAGTACCAAAACCACGCCAGCTCCATTGCGACCCGTGCTTCAAATCGACACATCACAACCAACAACGCCTTCCGCTTTAATTGGCGCTCCGTATTCTATTCGTTCAGGGTCGCTAGTCCTGTCGTAGTGTTTTCTCTATTTTAGATCCACGCTGATCCCTTCTAAGGCAGATAGAGGTGATCAGTACTCAGTATTCTGCAAGAGACCCATGCAACTGGAGGATCTAATCTGCCTCCAGTGATTATTGGAAGCAGCTCTTAGAAGCATTCTTGATGGCAGTCAAGGGGGGGGGCGAAGGTGAGGCGATGTCGGCATGCTCTCCACCCAATTAATGAAAATCATGCCTAACCGTGAAGGTCTGTCTAAAGAAGTACTTCAGATGTTACTTATATGTAATTGCTTTTGAGAGCGCCTACATGGGAATAATTTCCAAAAAAATGGAGGCAATTCTACAGTTTGAAAGAAGGTGAAGCGAATAAACTCTTGCCAAATTTTTGCGAACTAAAGCTAAGCGGAAGCTGGGGTGAAATCATTTTCTATGCAGTAGTCATCCTTAATTGGTTCTCCTGGGACGCGCCACGACCACTGTTTTCGTTCGTACCCATGCAGGTAATTGAATGAGTGCTGGGACTGTCAAAATCGAAAGAATTGTAGCAAAGACGATCCTACCTCGGTCAAAAAAAGTGGGAATCGTGAGCTCAGGGAATGCGAAACCTACCTTGAAACTATTCAGGCCCGATTTTAGTCAGATAGAGAACTGAATAAAGAAGAAATCTTGGGAAAACGCTGTCTAAATTGCCTCACCACTGGATTTCCTGCGCATTTCGCGTCTCGATCGGTGTCCGTGTTCACTTTCACAGCTGTTGTGTAAATGACGAGGCAGCTGGCGTCGGACATTTTGTTCTTACAGTTCACCGCTGACGGAGCAAACTGGAAAATTCAATATCAGGAGGATGTGGCTTTCGATACCCTCACTATGGAGAGTTGTTTATTTTAGTACACACAACATTTGCGAAACCAGTTACATGTTGGCTCAGCTGGTTTCCAATTGACGGGGGAGGTGTAGGGTTATCAACAGCGGCAGAAAAAATGACAGGTGCCCATGTTGTTGTCGTTTACTTTCAAAATGTTTGTTGAAATGTATTGATCAAGTTTCTTTCTGACTTATTCAATATGGTACGTGATGAGGTCCAAGGTGTTACGGTAACAAGTGGTGTCATTTACAACGATGAATCGAAGTCCACCTAGAATCTCCCCAAAGTCAACTATCCTTACATCCAACCACCGTCGGTTGAATGATGATAGGCTCTTTTGAAAGTCATATATTTGCAGTTTTCGTTTCGTAACTGTGTGGGCCATTTCGCATTCTCGAACACCCCTGCTATTCCAGGTATTGGTACAATGAATGGCGCACCCCGGAAACCGAATGTTTCATCGTTTAGGAGCTGACGAGATCTCAGAGCCTTTCGTGAAAATATTCTTGTCGTGAGCCCATCCCAAACATCACAAGGAAAACGAGGATTTTTTGTTGTAAAGTTCGGATACATGGTTAACCCCAGCAGGACTCCGTAAATAGCGAATGAGCTAACCAGGGGAGTAGAGAGAGTAATCCCACTACATAGAATCGGCTAATCGGTTGTGTGTGCTTGAGTCCGCCTGTGTGTGTCTGACCGGAAATTTATGACTAAAATAACTCCACTCCCTTTGGGACCAGAGCGCTCAACCTTCTACCGGATTTAAAGGGCCGACGAAACACATAGATGGTGGTGAATTGGAACATATAAATACGATCGAGCAGGATAACGGCACGTCGGAATCGCCAAATCACTGCTTCGTACGCCGTTTCGGCGCAACGGAAGTTTGCTTTCATCAGATACCCTCCCCTTCAAAAAGCGAGAAAGTGTCGGGTGCAGACCATGCACCACAAGTGACGACGGCCTTCACAAAATGTTAATGTTTTCTGCCAATGAAATGATTAGCCTGTTGCAGTTGTATTCTATCGATTGTCACTAATTACAACTATCATTTACCAGAAATCAGCTATCACTATGAACAACTTCTAACCAGATTTACTTGGAGGTCGTCAGTTGTGGTGTTTGGTCTGCACCCGACACTTTCTCGCTTTTTGAAGGGGAGGTTATGTGTTGTGGGACGGGGGCCCGAACAGACCAACCACAACAGATTTAAAAAGGTGATAGCAAGTGATAAGAGCTGATTACGTGCGCCGGAATGTCAACAACACAGGTTTCGCTGTGCCCTTCGCATTGGTAGTATCATGTTTGTACTCATGTATGTATATTATGTGGGGTGAGGCGGGGACCAAGAGGGTGATGAAGGAAGTGGTAACAATTGAGGAACTGATAAGGGGCGTCAGACTGTGAATAGCGCCAATTTCGTTGTAGTCTTCACAGTGACAGCACAGGCACTAAATTCTTGATGATTGATTGCATTTCTTTATTACACCTATGGTCATAGCGGAAAAATTATTGAACCGCTAAAAAATTCGAGTTCGATATCAATGGTAAATGTTTATGGAGTGTTCAGAGTTAGCGATCGTACGTGCGATTAGGCGATAGGCGATCAGGCGGGGAAGACTACATACGTATTGATTGGTTTGCTCCGCCCATAGAGCGTAGGCGAGTAGGCGATAGGCGATCGCTCAATGGGCGGAGCAACAAATCAATACTTATCCTTCTTTCATCGCTTACTCGCCTAATCGCCTAATCGCCTGAACGCACGTGCGATCGTCAACTATGAACGCTCCATTACGGAGTCATGGTAAGTACCATTTTCATTCCGCATGCTAGTGCGCGCACAACGCGATAATCGTCAGTGATATTGGACAACATTTGAATTTCATCTAGCGCCTTTTTTCAGAGCATCTTATTATTGGTTTTTCAGCCATGTGACATAATATTCAGCGGATTGTCGGTCTCACTGGAGTCCACCATGTCTTCGTAATGGAGCGTTCATAGTTGGCGAATCGTACGTGCGATTAGGCGATTAGGCGATTAGGCGATGATTCAAAAAGAAAAGTATACGTATTGATAAGGCGATCAGGCGAATAGGCGAGTAGTCGATACAAGAAGGGTAAGTATTGATTTGTTGCTCCGCCCACTGAGGTGCGCGGTTACGCGCGGCGCTTAATTGGTACCTAATAAGACCTCAAAATATTGCATTTGCATACCTTAGCTGCGCCACCTTCAACGTGAGTACAGTTCATATCCGTGATTCCAGCCCATGCACAGCCCACGAGCAGCGTCGTGTATAGTAGATATAAAAACATATAGTTTCTGGAAATTCCTAATTCAATAGACATATTGGTGCAGTAGAGACGGCAGCAGGATGGCTAACGCATAAACAACTCAGATTTTATATTGTATCCGGGTGTCTCCAATAAATGTACTTGAAAATTTACCCAGCTGAATACACGAAAAAGCAGTGTCGTTGGCAGCCCTACCACCAAATAGTCATGTAGGAACTCTTTGCGAAGCTGTCCGTTCTTTCCGACTTCATAACATGGATCTGTACAATCATATTTGTTTTCATTTCCGCTCAATAAATTATTTATTTGGTGGTTCCCAGACCGCTGCTTCTCCGCGGTGGAATGTGTTGTGCCACAGTCTCCGACCCTGTCGCTTATTTTGAACGGAATTAGCTTTGGATTTGGAAGGGATATATGTGTATGTTTTTTCCCTACCCTCACTAGAACTTCTGCTACGGAGCGGATTCCGGCAAGGTTGGCGGACCTACTGAGTTGGTATCCGGAGCTCCACTTTCATGCATGGCATGAGCTTGCAGTGTTGGCGGCCACTGCCCTTCTGCGCTGGCTTTCCGCTCCCTGTTCTAGCAGTTCCCATTTTTTGGCGCCCCATTCGGTCGTATTGTACTTTTATCGGAGATATGTTTCTACTCAATCGTAATGTTTTGTTTCTGGAATTTTGGATTCCGATGATAAATATCAATATCAATATCAATATGTGACAACTAGTCCCTCACTGGAGGACTATATGCGGTACTAAATCACTCAAGGAGTTAGGACATCGGTCAACAATGGTTTCACATAGATCATCACCGTGGAAAGTACTGGCACAAAATGATTCTAACTAACAAGGAGTAGTCAAGTAATCCTATGGGTAATGTGTGCCAAATAGCGACTGGGCAGCGCCAGAAACAAGGATGTCGAAGCGGTCATTCCACACTGTCCTGTCCGACTGAAAGTGCGGGAACAGCTTTCGTGTGTTTTCAAATTGCTAAGGAGGAACGAGGAATCGTCCGATTAAAGGTCGGGCCTGTAGTCTGGGTAAACGACCAGGAAGACGTGTAGGAGGAGCGCACTGAGAAAGAAGCGCTACACCGAGGTTAGGGCTAATGGCAGAAGGTGCCGTAGATAGACCAAAGTGAAACTAGAGACTAACCCTGCGTTTGCGCGGGATTAACACTGAATATAGTGGTGGCTCCCAAAGGGAAGTGGCCTAAATTTTATTTCTTATATGGCAATGGGGCGGTTATTTCACAGGGTCCCACACACAGATTTCCCTTTCTCGTGCGCATGACTGGTGATCCTTAGGTGAAACTGGGCGGCTAGTGCGACAAAAGAGAAAGGAAGGGCAAACGCGTGATTTTAAAGGGTGTCACTCTCCTTGTGATCGGATGGGCTGATTAAGGAATGGTGCGCACTACGTGCGGAGAAGAGAGTATGAGACGAGAGAGCGCATCAGACGGGACAGCGCCACAGGCAGCCTGATAAGAGAAAAGAATCTGCAGGGCCAGCAGAATTCTTACAAGGCCTAGCGCTCTGCTTGTTGCTATCCTGCACCGGAGACGCCCATGTCTGGGACTGTTGGTCAGGGTCTGTTTATACAGATCAAAGGAAAAACGTTCACATACTCTGTTTAGGGTGCATTTGGTACCATTGCTACATTTGCTTACTTATACTATAGTTCCTATCAGAAATCTACAGAAATTGATATCTGAGACAACTCTCGGGCGTTCTCTTCGATGATCCAGGGTTCAAGAATCTCTCTGAGCCCATATGTAAACGCCACTATTACATTGTGAAGACCTCGCCATTCCTCCCTTCAGCATAGTAACACCGATGGTGTGACAATTGCAACATTGGTTGCATGCTTAACTATATTCTTGAAAATAAATTAACGTTTTTTTGTGATAAAGCCACCTTTGAAATGAAGAAGTTTGATGGAACTTTTCAATGGCTGGAGCGAGCTTGTAACATGGAATGAGGGTGGTGAGAATTCCCCTGTGTAGGGGTATCCACCGGAGTGGTTTCTAACTCGTTCGTGGTAGCACGGACCGGTTTTCCGCAGAGGATAGGAATCCGGCGCAATCTCGACTTGGGCAGAGGGTGCACTGTTCAAAACGCCTTCGGTATGGTGGTATTAGAGAATAGCAAAGGAGAGGGAGAAAGGCCGGGGAGAGCAGAATCTGATCACATTCTCCCCCAGAATCTCTTCGTCTTCGTCTGGGTTCTAATAGTCCAATACTCTATAAACAGCTCACCCACTCGATTGTTCACCCACCCCCTCCCTCATCCTCCACGACAGAGCGCAAGGGATACTTTGAGCCTGGGGCCCTTCTTCATTCATCAGAACCAGGCATGCCCTCATCTGTAAGCTCGCCCAACGTGTTATCCAAATTGCATGAAAGGGTAGGACGTACTCAATGATTTTTCAAAGACGAGGACTGTTTACTATAAGTCGCAGGCCACCACAGGCGACCTTTAGACGTATTTCGAGAAAATCAAGAATACGACCCTCGTAGGTTTCATGATCTACCGTAATCTACGACTGCGTCATAGATTACGGTAGATCATGAAAGAAATCGCAGTTTTCTGAATGCGCAGATTCATGTCTCGAAAATTATATTATGGCTCATCC